AAAAGTGCTGGCAGGCACTCTCGACATACACAATGTAACGACATAATAAAGAGAGCCTTAATTTCTGCAGACATACCAAGCATTAGGGAACCATTAGGGTGTTGTAGGACAGATGGAAAAAGACCGGATGGTCTAACACTAATACCTTACAAACAGGGACGCTCACTAATATGGGACTTTACATGTACAGACACTTTTGCCCCCTCTTATCTCTCTCACACACTTAGACATGCTGGCACAGCAGCAAAACTAGCCGAGACCAAAAAACACAAACTTTACTCTGAACTTGAAAAACAATATATCTTTGTTCCGGTGGCTGTCGAGACATCAGGAGTATGGGGGATGGAAGGGTTGAAGTTCGTCCAAGATGTTGGGAGGAGGATGAAGGATGTCACTGGACCAATGTCAACAACATTTCTCATTCAACGGATCAGTTTGGCAGTTCAACGCGGGAATGCGGCATCAATCATGGGAGCTGTCCCCAGTCAACGAGGATTAGAAGAATTATTTTATATTTTAAATGATAGGTCGTTTTATTTACAAAAATCCTGTAAGGGGCCGAATGGTGATCTCGGACGCCTATCCGGATCAAGTAAAGGTTTTCCCAACCCACCAACATCGGGTTTTTCCTCTACTCCCCAAGCCAACTAAGTGTATTTCATACTTTATCAATGTTTATGTTAATAAATAATTTTCCATTTTGTGGGAAAAAAAATAAGTCTCCTCCATTCAATGTTTCTGGTGCAAGAAATAAGGGGAATGACACTTTTTGAAGGAGGAGGTCTCAAGTTTGAGAAGCCTTCAGAAAAATTGGAACTCTTCGAAACTGGCTCAAAAAACTCGACGCCATTCCATCAATCAACTCACTCACTACAAATTAGTCGCCCAGAATTTTAAAATAAATTCCCAGAGGCGAGAAATGATTAAAAATGTGCTGATTTTGACGATGGATCATCAAGTCTTACGTTATTTTTGAAATTTCAAAATTGTTTAAATCCCAATCTTGCAGAATTGTATAATTGGCGTGCGCGAAGAAGTCCGCGACGAGGCTTTGCTCCGACACATGGCGCAAATTGGGAAGCCGAGCAATGCCTACGAGCTACTCGGCCTGAACAAACCGGACCCGGAAATCCCCCTGCGACCAAGGATAAGCCCATTTTGACGCCAGAACTGCTCCGACGCTTCATCCACCTCCCGCACGTGGAGAACCTCTGGCTATTTTTCTTCCTCACTTTGAATCCTGCCGATTCGGATGACCAACCAAAGGATAACGCCCACCTGGCCAAGCAAGTCACCCGAATCAAGAACCGCTTCAAGGATTTGAGTAAAGTGTTCAAAAATTTAGTTTTCATTCAAAAGTCAGTCATCCCGATTTCTGAGTGAATATTTTCATTCACATTCAGTCATTTTCTTTGAAATTCATTTCACTTCACTTCACTTCATCCGACTTCATTTCTTACTTCGCCCCATGTATTCAGTATACGGTGAAAACTGGAAGGCGTGAAGTATCCTTTCATTCACATTTACTCATCCGAAATGACAGAATCCTTCATTCATTTTGAGGGAAAGTTGACAATTCACCTGTGAATTGAATTTTTAATAAAATGAATAAATGTTGAATAATTAATTAATATTTTTTTTTACAAATTATGAATAAGGAATGAATATTTTTTCCAAGGCTTTGAATGAATAAATATTTTTTGAACATGTATGTGAAATAGTGATAAAAATTAAATATTTCGCAGTCTTCAGTGAGCCCGACTTCGTCGACGCTGCCGAAGACCTCGCCACGCTGCAGGCCAAGTCCCATAATTTGGTCTCGATTGACGGAATTGGCATTCATTATGACAACTTCGCCTGGATGGCGGATGTCATTTCGAAGAATAAAGGGTTAAAAAAGATTTCCCTTTGGAATGAAGATGACGAGGAGCCTGGCGATGTACCGCACGTCGACTGCAAATGGATGACGGGTAACGTAATGACCAGAGTGCGGTTATGTATTTTTTTACGAAAAATTGTTGGAATCATATGTACCTGTTCAAAAAAACTTTTTTCATTCAAAATTCAGTAATCCCGATTTTGGACGGAAGATTTTCACTCACATTGAGTGATTTTCGTTCAAATTCATTTCACTTCATCTGACTTCATTTCTTAGTTCATCCCATGTATTAAGCATAGGGTGAAAAATTAAAAGAGTGAAAAATCCTTTCATTCACACTCATTCATCTGAAATGACTGAATCTTTCACTCATTTTCATTCATCATCACTCACTATCATAATCACGCAAATGAATGAATGAAAGTGAACAGGTATGTATTAAAGCGATTTTTCGTACATACATATACGCCCTGTGGTAACAACTAACCATAATATTTATCGAACAAAATGGTCACCAAGTTAGTACCGATTTGTTACAGATTTTGACAACTTGAGGTCTCTTACCATTCTGCGGTTTGAAATCAGAAACGTATCCAAACTTCCGGCGACTTTGAACCGACTCGCGCTCCTGAGTCCAGTCACGTTGGAGAATATCGTTTGGATCTTGGAGAACCAGCAGGAACTTCGGGTCAGTTTTTCGTCAAAATCGGCGTACATTTTTAATCATTTCTCGCCTCTGGGAAATTATTTTAAAATTCTGGACGACGAATTTGTTAGAGCAGGTTGTTCCCAATTTTTAAAAAAATGCACACTCCAGATTTTGACACTTTTTGAAGGAGGAGATCTCAAGTTTAAGAAACCTTCAGAAAAATTGGAACTCGTCGAAACTGGCTCAAAAAACTCGACGCCATTCCATCAATCAACTCACCGACTGCAAATTTGTCGTCCAGAATTTTAAAATAAATTCCCAGAGGTGGGAAATTAATAAAAATGTGTTGATCTTGACGATTTAGGTGATGCGTCATCGAGTCCTATCTTAATTTTTAAATAATTATTAAAAATTATGAATTCATTTCCTCCAGACTTTTGAAGTTTGGGTCCATGAAGCAGTCCGCGATGAGGCTTTGCTCCATCACATGGCGCAGATTGGGAGACCAGGGAACGCTTACGAGCTCATTGGACTGAAGAAATCGAACCCCGAAGAAAATCCCCCGCGGTGAACAATAACGACGCCACTATGACGCCAGAATTGGTCCGACGCTTCATCCACCTTCCGCACGTGGAGTACCTCACGTTCGATTTCGTCCTCTCTCTGAATCCTGCCAATGCTGATGATCAACCAATCGATAACGATCACCTGGCCGAGCAAGTCATCCGACTCATGAACCGTTTTCAAGATTTGAGCGAGGTTTGCAACAAAACGCCAGGAATTGTAGAGGTAATTTAAAATGCGGGGTAGTGTTTCGACTCTTGCGGGTTACAGGAAAGTTCATGTTCAAAAATTCAGTTTTCATTCAAAAGTCTGTCATCCCGATTTCTAACTGAAGATTTTTATTCACATTCAGTCATTCTATTTCAAATTCATTTCACTTCACTTCGACTTCATTTCTTATTTCGCCCCATGTATTAGGAATAGGGTGAAAAATTAAAAGAGTGAGAAATCCTTTCATTCACAGTCATTCATCTGAAATGACGGAATCATTCAGTCATTTTCATTCAAATGAAAGGAGTTTCATTTTCATTCACCATCATAATTAGTCAAATGAATGAAAGTGAACAGGTGTGATTGCTGGTTACTTGCACCCGAAAAATGGATGGGAGTAGATTCGCTACTTGATTAATTTAAGTATGTACTATATTTATATTTGTTAGGCTCGATTTGCCCACGTAGTTGACTCCACTCGGCGAGCTTTCAGCTATTCGATCACCATCTCGATTGATCGAAAAACTTTTAAGGGATTACCACCATGAAATCGCTCTAAATCCATATCAAATTGTAATAGGTACATGTGTTGTAATAGCCAATTAATTCGTACCAGATTTGATGAAAGATTAATAAAATTGAAGATTGAAAATTTTGTCCACAATTTGGTAAACTTTTTTTTGTTTGCTTAAAAACATGGTTCAAAAATGAGGCAGTTTATGATTAAATACTTTCATATTTAAGTTTGAGGAATCATGCTTTTTTCCAGAGTACAACTTTCGCAATCGTACTAATTTGCACACTATTTTCATTAAATATTTGCATACATTATGGAGTGATCCGATTGCGGAAAAGTGCACGAAAATCCACACCTTGCACCTTGGTAGCACCTCCGCCACCACCCAACCAACTTCCCGAGGAGCCGGTGACCTTATGGGGTCAGGAATCTAGCTGCTGTCACAGTGAGGGAAATTTGAGATGCGAAATCACTTCATCATTGACATACCTGTTCACCTTCATTCATTTGACTGATTATAAATATGAATGATAGTGAATGAAATTGAAATTACTGTTATTTGAATGAAAATGATTGAAGGATTCCATCATTTCAGATGAATGACTGTGAATGAAAGGATTTCTTATTCATTTTAATTGTTCTGAATACTTATAGAAGTCAAATCTCTAATTCATGTATTTTCAAACTCGAAACACAATTGCTCAATGTCGAATTATCGATTAAATTACCGAAACTAAATACGACCTCATTTCTTAATTAATTCTGATGAGAGTTGCACATTCAATGTGACCCATGGTATGTCCGGAAGGAGGCAATGTGAGACTTATGCAAATGAGCTGAATGGACAATGATCTTTTTTCACGAAGCTCCATGCATAAAGTATAGGACGATCTTTCAAGATCACGAGGTTGATTTAACAACCTAACATTCCTCGCAAAAACGTGTCATTTTACTTAGATTCCCATCCTATTTGCAATGGTCCGCTATGTCGTAATTTCGCCATTTCTCATCGGATTTGCACGAAATTTCGACACAATTTGTTCCTCGTCGTTGTCTACATGTCTCAACACAACTTTTTCGCCACGTCATAATTGTTATCGTTTTTCATTCGATTAGAATGAATTTTCAACAGTCGTAGTGCTTCCAAAATGTCGCAATATTGTACTCATCACCACGACCAATTAGGATGTTTTGAAGTCGAAAATTTTCTATAAATTTATTAAATTCTTCATAATTTAAGGTCAATTCAATTCTACACAGTCATCTATTGTCTACATCTATTACAAGATTAGGTAAAGATATTTAAAAACCATGATCAGTTTATCCAGCCACGGTCGCGAATATGTATTCCTCTGCTTTATACAATTTCCAAACCACTAAAAAATCTCTGCCTAGCCGGATCAGCGTAGGTGTCGACGTGATTAGTAGCAACGTGACTGAAATTAGTTGATACCATTCACTCGTTTTGAACAATATTAGCAACGCGAGTAATTCGATTGCTAAATGAAAACCGAGCAAAAGTCGGGGAAAGGTTGACGACGAGAAGAGAGAATGAAATCTGGCATGGGACGAATTTAAGGGGTCCGCCGTCGTGGTGGGAGTGCTGTGGGTGGAGCGGTAGAGATATTTTCGAGTCAAGATGGTGACTGCGGTCAGTGAGGAGGGCGTATACGCCATGGTGGGTGACCATCTATGGAGAAATTATGAAAATTAATTGTAAAGTTGAGTGTTTTCTATGATAATTAATTATGTAAAATTACTGTTGGGCTTGATGCAATAATGCCACATTTCCTGGCTGAACACGACTCCACGCCCCCAAATGAACAGCCACCTTATGCATCCGATCGGTAATGTCGGGACAAAATGATCGGGATGAGATTAACGTGAATGTAAAGCATGACGAGAGGAGGAGGTGTTGGGTCACGAAGGGAAGGTCGTAGTGGATAGTGGGCTGTAATATAACATAAATTATTTAATCCATCTTTCTGAATGGAGGTCTCCCAGCGTATGCTCTCGGATTTTTATCAAATTAATGTCAATCGATGGCAAGTTTAATTAGTATGAAATTTGCAAAAGACACGGTCTGCCAATGCTCAGGTTTGGCAGAGATATTTATATCTGAAGAGGAGAAAACGCCTCATAAAGTTGACAAATTTTACACTTTCGAACTGCGCGTTTTCTCCTCTTGGACGCACTTATCCGCTAAACCTGAGCATTGGCAGATCGTGTCTGTTGCAAATTTCATATTAACTAAATTAATTTGTGATCAATTGACGCTAATTTGGCCAAAATCGGAGATCATACGCTGGGAGAACCCAGAGACCTCTAATTATGACTCGATAAATTGTCCTTACCTTGCAAAAACCCCACGGAACGAAGCAACCATAATACACGGTCACAAAACAAGAGTAAAAAACGGACTTGATTCTTTTGTTGAATTGCATCCGTAGTTGTTCACACTCTTGCCGAATTGCGGGTGGGTGTGTCGTGCAAGTGTGATGCACCGAGTTTTCGGGGGGTTGAACAGGATCGTAATCTGGCTGATGGAACAAGGGGACTAATGTCGGCCCGTAGGTGTAAAGATGAAGTGGAATCCTAACAATAACAAATAATTTCATTATGCTTCAGGTTTATAATTATTTTAATCAATTTAACTCACGGTCCCAACAAGTATATGACCCTTAACCAGGTCAAATGCTCTATTTTCGCTGCATTCCATGCAATCGAGGCAATCATTCCAATCCCAAGACTGTACACGAGAAAGGTTTGACTAGAAATCACTTTCGACAAGATTAAGTACACGATGCGTCGGGTCATCACGGTCAGGATGATGATCGCCAGGTGAGGCGATATTAGGTGGAGGTGCTGTTATGAAATCGTTACACAAATCGTCAAAATCAAAATGTACATGCATTATTAAATTAATTGTGCATTTTTATCGAGGTGTGCAAAATTTTTCTTCAAAATGCAGGATTTTGAGTTCCGTTCTCCCCAGAGTTGGATTTTCAGGGCTGTCACGCCCACAAAAAGGCGAGAATCTGCATGGAGAATACCAATACAACAGTCATACGAAATTACAGGTTTTGTGAAGCAATTAACGTTTTTGTCAAAATACTTTATTTTTAAAAAATCGTGAAACCAATGTATTTTGACAGTGAGATTATATAAAAAGTTAATTTCTTCTCAAACCCTGTAATTTCGTATGACTGTTGTATTGTTATTCTCCATGCAGATTCTCGTCTTTTTGTGGGCGTGACGCCCTGAAAATCCTAACCGGAAATTAAAATCCAGCATTTTGACAAAGCCTTCCGCCCTGATTTTTAATATCACTTATCAACTTACCACACCACCACCCCCACTGTTGAAACTCTGCGGTAACCACCACACGGTTCGATAAAGGTGGAGAAGTTGCAAAGCGTAGAACAAAAGACCGTTGAGCGTGAGGACAATGTCGAATCCGAGTGGCGACAAGGGAGGCAGTGGAGGGAGGTGAATATGCTTCGTCACTGGAATATGCTGATGACCACAATTGTTATCGTGTGGGTTATTCATCGTCGGCGGAGATGTCGATGACGACGACGAAGAGGGAGACGATAAGCGACGAGAGGACACGTTTTGAAGAGAAGAGTTCGGCATGATAATGCAATGCTTTACAAATTAATCATTAATAATTTGTGTTTATTGTAAATTTTAATATGTTTAAAAGTTAATGCCAACGAATTATAATTTATAAATAAGTTTCGCAATGTAAGAAAAAAATATCAACAGCGGTGTGGTGCTTACACATTTGATTGTTTTTTGTTGTTTACAAAACTGTGCAACTTGACATTTCGCTTAAAGGAAATTCTCATTTTTCCCATACACCCTGAAAAGTACTTTTTTCTTTACGTAAGTATGTATGTAAGTAAAAATAAAAATTTACATAAAAATGTGGACATTTATAGAATTTTATTACATGCACAAAGTTGAGATGAAACTGAATCCTTGTTACTTATTTAATTTTAATCAAAATTTATACATATATATTAAATAAAATTATACGATGTAAATATAATTAATTACGTGATACATTTTTTTCTTCTGCATAATTTCTTATACAAACTCGGCGAACACAGCTTATACTCTGATAAATAAAATTACCATTAGATTAATTACGAATTTATGTATTTATAATCGGCACTTCTAATTTTTAATTAGAAGTCAGTTATTCCTTTTTATAATTTATGAGAAAATGTATTATGGAAGGTGGTTATTTATGCCATGTGACTAACTTTTATGGAATAAAAATTCTGTAATATAACCGTTATGGAAAAGGGAGGGATTATGCAAAGTGACGCACACGTTTATAATCTACTCCTCATCCTGTCTGTCATGAACAACCAGATTGTGCGGCATGGGAATGAGGACGGTTGCCATATGATAATCCATCGTGGGTGGGGGTCCGTTGGGGTCTGGTGTAACTCTGAAGCGTTGGAAGAGACACGCCGTGAAGAGGAAGAGCTCATCTTTCGCCAAACTTTCGCCGAGACAGACTCGTTTCCCGGTGGAAAAGGGGAGCAAGGCTTCGTGTCGTACGACGGATTTGGCATCGCCAGCAAGGAAACGTTCTGGCCGGAAGGTGTCTGGATCCCCCCAAATTGCGGGGCTCTTCATGCAGGCGTACAAGTTGGAAACGATGATGGTGTTCTTGGGGAGAAAATAGCCTTTGAAGGTTGTGTCCTCCAAGACGCTGTGAAACACGCCGGTGGGAACCATCGCGCTGAACCGCATGACTTCCATGATCACGGCTTCCGTGTACGGCATGCTGGATGGAGGATAAAATTAATTTTGAATTTAATTTATTAGGAAGTTAGTAAACCTACGTTTTTAAAATTTTTAGAAACTGTATGAAAAATGCTCAGAAGACAGGCAAGAGAGATTTCAAGATCGGTTCCGGAAATTTTGACCCAACTCAAGAGATAAAGTTACAGAAATTTTAAAAACGTAGGTTTGCTAACTGCCTAGTATGACTTTCAGTTATCTAATTGTTCGTTAATTAATTAATTAATTATCTAATTGTTCTCACTTGGGTCGATCATGCAACGATGGGAGACGACTCTTTCCCACGACACTGTCGATTTCCTCGAATAGTTTCTCCTGTGGTTGGGGATTCAAAGCGAGCAGAAGAAACATCCAGGTCAGCGTGGTCGAAGTGGTCTCAGCTCCAGCAATGAATAGGTCGAGCATTGTGTACACAAGATTTTTTACTGAGGCACAAAAAAATTAAAAATCGTCCACCATGAAATAAATAAATAATGTGAACGTACTTCCTTCCTCCCCGTCGAAACTGGACCCCACCGCGGCTTTCTCCATCTCACCCAAGTACACGTCAATGAAATCTCTGGGGACGGCGTGAGCCTGATAAGTGTCCTGATGCTCTTTGATATGTTGTCGGATAAAGGCCAACGTCTTTTTTTGCGTCTAATTAACAAAACTAATTAGACAAAAATTAATCTAACATATTTAATTTTGATTTTTAACCTCCGTTCTCTGTGCGGCAGAAGGTCCGAAGAGGAAGGGAAACCACACCCGGAGTTTGTAGAGGAATGGGAAAAATAGGATGGCACCAGCAGCACGGGAGGATGATACGGTCCTAAAGGAAATATTGTGCCGAATAAGATAACCGCTTATCAATAAGTATTTAACTGGTAAGATGACAACGTACGAAGTAAGTCGCTTGATAAGATCGTGCAGCATGGGATCGTCGTGAGAATACCGATTTCCAGTGATTAACGTCCACAGAGCGTTTAGCACAGCGGCATTAAACTTATTTTGAGTTTGGATCGGTTTTCCTGCCATTTTTCGAAAAGTTTCAATCAACTCGGTCGCCTCTTGCTGAACCATCGACTCCATTGATTTTTTTCCGAACCCGAAATCTCTTAAAGTCTTCAAAGCAAAGCGACGCTGTTCGACCCAAGTGGCTTCGTGGGTAAAGATGACGCCTAAAAGGTGCCAGGCATGAGTTTTTCTATATCACTAACTTAGATAAGTGCTTATCCGCATAAACAAACCTCTCGGAATTCCACCGGTTCGATCTTGGAAGGGTTTCAAAAAATTGGCCCGACCGCTGAACACGGCTTCGGAAAACATTTCTCGTAACAGCTTTGGATCGTTTATTATAACCGCACTGCAACATTTTTCATGACATAAATATTATGAAATCAAAATAAGAATAAAATTCTTACGGATTATTCCCAAAATAAATGGAAAACATGTCGCCGTATTCTTTCTGCATTTTCATGAACGCCTTATGCGGTTCGGAACCCAACTGGTGAAGATTTCCGAGAAGTGGGAGCCTTCGTGGACCTAAAAATTAGCACGGAAAGCTCTTTCTCACATCTAAATTATGCAACAATTAAAGTTTATGTTGTCTTACCTGGTGGAAAATTTGGGGGTTTTCTCGTGCACCAAAAATAGAAATAAGTTATCGCAGCGATTACGACGAGAATTTCACTTGTTCCCCAATTCCAGGGGAGGGATAGTAAAAACGCCATATTTTTCCGGAATTATTTCAAGTTTTTCTCTTCCTACAAACAATTTTACTTCATTACCGACTGGACAGACAAAGCAGTAGAAAGGAACTGATTTTACGACTATGTTTTCCAGAGAGTCGAACCTTTTTCTTCTTCCTTTTTTTATGACGCTCAATTCCACAAGAACAACAGTACCTGGAACTTTATATCCCTTTGTTAGTTGTTTTTTGGTGTGTTATGTCTGCCTTTTTTTGATGAATCTTATTTGTTATTATGCAAAACGAATACGCTTATGTAAACGAAATGTGTGTCGAGTCCGTTGATATCACACTTATCACCTGACCCACGAGGCAAACTAATGCCGGATAATGATAAGTTCTAAATAATACCGTCGTGTTACTAATATTTGCTTATCATGACGAGATAAATAAACAATACAAATTCTGTCTGGTCGGATCTGGCTTTGTTTTAATTGTTCCCTTTGATTTCAATAGTAAATAATTTAGGTGTGTCGTATCACAAGGAAAATTATGTAAATTCTGACGGGAATGATCCTGTGACCTGTGACTGCGATTCGATTAAATGCCACCGATTGACTCACTCACTCGTGGGAATAATAGAGTTAATCTCATCTCTGGAGCAGTTTATGAGCCGATCCGCGTGGCCGTGGCGTCGATGATATAATAGTCACGCAAGGCAAATAGCAGTGTTTATGGAGGATAAAAACTAACAATTACTCACTGAAAAAGGGAGGATTTATTATAGGAATCACCTGAGGCTGACTGTTAGAGAGAAGAAATATTTAGTAGCACATACAATTTTTTGACTGGAGATGATGATGTTGCATAAGTAGTGGAATGTATACAAATATGTATATTGAACAAACCGGAGTGCAGCGGAATGGAATCTCGAGATCTTTACATATTTATTTTGATGGATGAGATGAGAAGATGGTGAATAAGACGGAATAAGGATGGTTACTTATTTATGTTAAAAGAAATTGCAAATAACTCCAAGTAATGGAACATGACATGCCATACCTGCATGCATGCAAATATTATTATTGTGAATTTACATAGTGGTGTCAGTCAATGTCTGTAAAAGTGCATCAATTTGATACTGATACAAAGTAGTAATTTGTATGTGTATGGACAGATTGCGATTGTGAGTACGTATAGAAGATGAGATACTACACATGCATAATTTGTAGATATTTACGTATGCATGTATAGCTCGTTATTCGTACAATTTTGAATTGGAGAGTTCGATTTGTACTTGTATATTAATTTTTTTTCTGCTGGAAATCATGAATGCTTTTGGGTAGAGGTCATTAAATTTTATTTGGTATTTAATTGAACTCAAGTTATACATAACTGATTATACGGCTCGGAGTCCTCCTGGGTAGTTGCATAATAACAAATTGTATGTACATACATTCTGATTTCAAGGTCTGGTGGACCATTATTATTATTTAGATACATACGAATCTCAAGAGCACAATTGATATCTCATGTTTTTTAATACATGATGAATGGCAAAGTGTAATTATGAATACGTTTTCCTTATTTTTTTGATAAGGTGCAAAAGTGCGTAATTAAATTGAAGAAGGATAAGTTGATGCGATGAGATTTTTATTTTTATTCATTTTATTTATTTATTGTTAGGGTTTCATGCCGAGAGAAAAAATAAAATAAATGATTGATGTCCAAAATTCGAGACAAGAATTCTGCAAAAATATCTATATGTATGAATTTTTTTGCAAACATAAGCAAAATCCAAGTCCTAAAATACACATTGATATGACTTCAGACGTAAATAATATTAATTTGCATACATCAATATTTGCATATCTGTCAAATTTTCAGCCTTCACTTGAATTTTTTAAGTTTCCTCCTCCAGCCCAATATTAACATGTTTGGTGAGCCGTGTGGCGGAGACGGCGATGCAAACACGGCCAAGAATGTGACCACCACGCCAATGGATCTTGATGATAAAGTTGACTCTGAGAATGCCGGTGGTCCATCCTGCACGGTAATAAACCGTTACAAACAAAATGTAGTAATAGGGTGAAACTAGTAATTCCCCAAAAAGTATGTGACCATACCCCCTGACCTCGAGGGGGGGGGGTCCGATTTACCCCAAAAGCTGGTAAGATCCTCCCCTGGGGTCATATGTATGATACTGCAAACTGATTTAATTATCTTGATGCGTTCTCCCGTTATCCTGCTGACGGACAGACAAACAGACAGACAACGAACAAAGTCTTCGCTTTCCAGGGTTTCGCCCTATAATAAATTGACGTACATAAATTAAATGATTTAGCACATCTGATGTTCTGATCTGCACCGATCTTATTGCAGATAATGCCGCCGCGTATCGATTTGATGGGGATACGTCCCGCCTCTCATGAAAGTATGGCCCAACAAGACGACATCGACGCACCCATGAAAAATGAAGCTGACCGGGACTCTGCCCCACCTGCTGTATGGCCAGTCGTGCTTATCGGTCACCTTGAAGACGTCCGATTGCGATTCAGTATCTCCGAAAATGAGAAGTTCACCCACTTCAAGATCAATTCTGGAGTGGAGGAGGCTACTACGGAATTCAAAATCCAGCATAATTGGCCTCGCATCACGTTCAACTTTCCTTCCAGCATAAGTTCACGAGGTTACGGGATTTTGGTCACATTTTCCCAGAACAACGGACCAATTAGCGTGTCCCTTTCGAGGAATGGAAAACCCATCGACTACCCAACTCGCATGACGTTTGATCTTGGCCCATATAAGGGAAGCAAACTGGGTCTCAAATTCGACTGGAATCGGAAATTCACCGTCATTTGACTGATATCTTGTACAAGTTCAACCTTCACTTAGGGTTAGGACTCAACACCAAAATCGTCAAAATCAGCACATTTTTCATCATTTCTGGCATCTGGGGATTTGCCTATTTTGAAATTCTGGACGACAAACTGGTCGTTGCCAATTAAAAAATATTTGTAGTTCAGAATTTTAAAACAAATTCCCAGAACCCAAAAATGATTTCCAACGTGCTGATTTTAAAGATTTTGGCGATGAGGTATGGAGCCCTACGTTAATCATGTTTAATCTTCGCAAATGCCTGTTAAAATAATTAGAATGATTATTATAATTTCTTAAAAAAAGTAAGTAACGAGTTAACTGCAAGTAAAATTATGTGAATTCTTGAAAAGAAAGTTGCTTCAAGTATTTATTTATGGGCTTGGCTACTGCATTGCATTTTGTTCAATCATACTAAATCGACGACTTGGTCTTGCCTTGCCAAATTGGAGATGAAAGTTCTCTACTGATTAAAAATTTACTATTTCCTTTTACATGTGTATGTACATACATACATATTTTACGTATGTATGTATGCATGCATTATTACCGCCTGTGGTAATATCATCATTCATTGCATTGCATACTAAAAGATTCCACCTTTTCTTCATCTCTTATTGATAACAAGTTTCAAAATGTTGCATGACGAGCATGCATTGACGACGACGATGACGACGGGCTGTGCTTAGAATTATTAAATTGAATAAGTTTTTTTTCTTCTACTTCTTTGAAGTCCGCTATTTTTCTTAGCATCCTGCAGGTGTGGCTTCAGTTTTAAGTCTTGAATGTGCATAGTGTTAGCAATTAACAATAATTTGCTGTGTGTCGTTCGTGTAGTTATTAAAATATTAAAATATTTAGTGACGAGACAAACACCAGGACTGACGGTGAATCAGTTACATTAATTTTTTTAAGATATCCGACTCAATCCAGACCGCTTATCGGGATAATCACGATCTTCGTTCTTTACACTTTTTAACTCTACAAAATCACTAAATATGATGTGAGTGAAGAGAGGTTTAATTGATTAATAATTGTATTAATAAAGGCAGTTTAGGATTAAATTTAGTGGCATAGACCTTTCTTATGCATACATAACCCATCGATAAGCAGTTGAATGATGGTTACGAGTTACGAGTTAGTCAGGAATACGTGCGATAAAAGTCGTGCGACAAATTTGAGTCGACATGAAATGGGAGTGGAACGCGTAATATCAAACTGAAGACGAGGTTGAACTTCAATAAGTGACAAGAAATTAGTTTTTTTATCAGTCAGTTCTTTAACCTTTAATAAGTCAAAGTCAAGAAGAGATAATATGATGTCTGAGACCTATCACTGAATTTAGATAAGGTAAGCACTTACTAGTAGATAAGCTATATATTTAAGTTGGATAGATGACCCGAGGTTAAGAAAAGGTCACATCATCATATCGTATTAATTTTGCAATTTACTTCGCTAAATTGCCACCTATTTAGTAAAGCCAAGCCCATGAATCAAATTTAAAAATCCAGTCTCACATCCTGCCCACATATTCAACACATTGTTGTCTTATTATTTATTTAGTAGCCCATCTAAATATAAACAGGAGTGAGTGAAAAGGTTGATTAAAATTGGATACAACACGTGCATAAATTATTGTCTGTCATGTCATTTCATTTCATGATGTGCAGTAAAAGTAGGTGAACGATGACGAAGATGAAGGAACGAACAATGCAATCGTATCCTAATTTAGTTCGGCGTCTGTCTTTAAACTAAAGTGAGATATATTTTAAGCATCACTTCTTCTGACAATAAATACCTTGGTTTCGGTGGGTAAGGCAAGGCAGTGATGGTCGTGGTGGTGGCAAATGTCCTGTTATCTCTTCTACCAGCCTACGAACCCACTTTAAAATTAGTTCAGATTTAGATTAACGAGAGCCTTTTTGGAGGTGTGTGTGGGGCATATGGGATTTGGCCTAACTGGTCACAAAGCAAAAAGACAAGGGTTTTGGTTCCTATGCATGGTTGAGTACCTGAACATCTTCATTCATCAGATTTTACTTGGTGAGACGAGCAGTTTAGTGAGAAGAACGATTTAGGAAGCTTCTTACGTACGTAGTTTAGTTGGCTTAAAGAAGTTGCATTGGGTATGCATTTAACAACAAAGTTGCTTATTTTATGTATTTAGTTGTTGGTGTAGTTATTTAGTTGTGATGGTGTCGTGGTTGTGGTAGGATTGGTATTTGGTAGCGTTCCGTCTGGTACGATCTGGTATTGTAGTCTGCAAACTCTGTATAATCCGCATTCCTGAGGAGAAGAAGACGAAGAAGCAGGAATTAATCTAGTCTCATCGTATAACAATCTACGCATTAAGTTATGCATGCAAAAGTGTGGATTATTTTTTTATTCGTGGTATTGATTTGTGTTTATCGTTAGTAATGAAGTGAAATTTAAGTGGGGTTTGTTATGTGAGTCGCAATTTTTGGTGCGGGTCGTGAATTTTTGTGGATTTATGTGTAACCAAAAATTTGGAGAATTTGAAATGGTGGACTGTTGATCAGGTTAGTTTGAAATTTATACGGAATTTTATATTGTAAGAAATTAATTGATAAATGAAGCTAAATGTAAAGAAAGCATTGATTCGGAATTTTCCGAAATTTGAGTGATATTCATGCCGAAAAAGGTTGTAATAATGATGAGAATTTGAAATCGATTGTTAATCAGATTGACGGTAAACTCATGCGTAATTATTATTTCTTGTTCGAAATTGGTAAACGAAGTTAAATGAATTTATCTAACTTACGTGAAAAAACAAATGAAGCAAATCATCACATTTATGAAGCATTGATTCTGAAGTTTTTGAAATTTGAGTGATATCCGTGCCGAAAAAGGTTTTAATAATTGGGAGAATTTGAAATGAACTGTTGATCAGGTCAGCACGGACATAGTTGGAAATTCATACGTTATTATTTCTTTTAAGAAATCGATAGATAAATTTAAATAAATGAAATGAAATTACGTGAAATATGAAATGCAGCAAATCATCAAATGCACGGAATTTTCTGAAATTTGGGTGATATTCGTGCCGAAAAGGGTTGTCATAATTAATTGAATAAAATAAAGAGATGCACCAAGACATCGAGAAGAAGAAGAAGATCTAATCGTGCCTGGAGACCTTTCGCATTCTTCTTACTGCGTATGAATTTAATTATTATGCAGTTTTTTTCTGCGAAAGAAACAAAGAACGGCTTTTTCCACTCCACTCTACAGCAGTCCAGGAATTTCTTTGGTTGTTGTTATTAGTTTGTCTACGCAATAAGAGCAATTTACTTGCTTAATGGAGGCCCGTAAATACGTTTCCATTAGACCCGTCATTATTATAAGTACTCTCCCGTTTTCCACGTGTAATCCATTTTAATGGAGTTAATATTGACCCAATCTACATACTCAATGGCCGCGGAAAGTGTGGGGACAACCGGGGACATTAACATTGCAGGAAAGGGGAGGGAGGGGTTTTTATAACATGGGGAGATGATGGGGACATCGAAACACCGTGGGGACATTGCCCCTCTGTCCGCACCCTTCCGCGGCCACTGTGCATACTTAACTTGGGAAGGGAAATATGCATAACGTAAAAATTATCGATTTCCGATTGATCTAGTGGTGCATAAATAATGGGGAAAATTATTGACTTGACTTTGGCATGGTTTTGGTGATGGCCCAATTTTGTATGTCATTTATGTATTATTTCACCTGGATAAATGCCCCGATTTGAGTCAGAAGAGACGCACATATTCGTCCTTATCCTTCCTTGACTCGACTTTCAGACGACTTTGGTCTTACCTCAGGTTTACTTTGTCTTATCTCAAAAGTCATGTAGAAAGGTGAACAAATTTTTGAGCAGCGATTTTCTGAGTAATTTCCGTGCATTTTAATTAAAAATCAGTAGATTCTAGAAATTATCTCTTAAAACGTCGTAACTTTCTCAACAACGATTTTCTGAGTGATTTTCGTGCCGATCAAAATTATACCAATTAACTGAATTTTAATTGAAAATCTGCAGATCGAAAAATTAAAGTATTTTTCAGCAATTAAATTTCTTTGCTCGAATTACTACGTTTCACGCTGAATAATACATAAATAACATATGCCGTTGGAATTTGGAACTCGAAGGACACGAAGAATATAATATAATTACACGCGTATGTGTGCACGATACGGTTAGTCGCTCATTAAAAATATTGCTAAGTATGTATTATGTGGCTCATCAATAATTTAAGTACGTACAAGTCCCGGCCTCGTATTTACGCTTGTGGGTCAAGTAAACAGATCACTGTAAACCACGAGCAGATTTGCATGGTTTGAGTGTGAATCACTCACTCCTCTGCCAAATATATTATTCGTCCTGGTTTATGTTACGTTACGTTAAATGATGATCATGCAAATCAAATAATTGTTGCTGATTAAGGAGAAACTAGGAAAACCACGCTTATGCGACGTGTAGTGTTATTCAGTAATTAAATATTATTGATATTCGTTAAATATGCGGATTTTTGTTGGATCATCAATAATATTTATCTTTAGGATTTTACATGTACTTACGCAAAAATATCTGAAATTGCAAAGTTATTTAGTCGATATTGAGACTTAACTAAGGTAAAAAGGAGTGCAACTAATCTTTGTAAGTCATAATTATTTACGCTGTTTAATTGTACACCACATTTTTCGTGTTGGCAGAGGCTGAGTACAATTAAACCTTGACGTGTAAGGGAGTGTCCATAAATCACGTGATCGATCATAGGGGGGGAGGGGTCTGAAATTTGTCACCATCTATCACCAAGGGGGGGGGTAATGGTCGGCAGTCACGTGACATGCCACGAAAAGTTTTTCTTTTAATTTCTGAGGTCAGTAAATGTGAAGAGAGTAACAATAAAGTCTCTTCGCATACTATCACGCGCCTTAAATAAATTTAATAATATGTGTTTACTTAATAGTGAACCTCTTTTATCTAAAATTCGTTATGCGGCGTATTTTTAAATTTTTACTTGACAATCTTGGGTCTGGTTTGCATATATGTACCACTCTTCCAAATTTCAGTAAACATTAATAGAACTCTCATTATTCTTTCAGAAATAAAGTGTAGGCAGTTGTCCTTAAGATGTCATGAATGTTAAATTACTTTGTATACTTACTCATTAGTATTAAATAATTCTTTCGATAATTTTAAAATTTAATTTAACTGGATTTAAAAAAACACAGGAATATTATTATTAGATTAATTTGTGCTATGGGTTGTCATGTCGGAAATAGGTCAGTTTAGCGAAAAAACTTTTTGCGAAAAAAATCTGCCACAAAAAATCACACTTGGCGAAAAATAGGTTTCATGTTTTTTACAGTAAGTTAGGTTTAATGTGTAACCTGTCACGTGACCACGGGGGGGGGGTAATGTATTTATCACCATTGGTCACCAAGGGGGGGGAGGGGGTCAAAATTGTCCAAAAATCGATCACGTGATTTATGGACGCTCCCTAATATATAAATATATTGTCATTAACAGTTCAGCCACATAATGACATAAATAACGGAATAATAATGGATATACGATTTAGTGCTAAATTATTGACGCGGTGACGTAGAGGAAATTGATCCTGAGCGGATTTGATATCAATCAACTTTTACCCAGAATAATAATTTCCAGACCATAACCATACACACGGACGTACATAATTTTTCTATGAAAAAAAGAACACACTTGTGCAGCGAATATGTAATCAATTCAAGTGTGCAAATGTAGATATCCTCTTTTCCTGCGAATTATTGCCATTTGCGATTGCATGCATGCAAATTAACAATTCATTCAGTGAGAATTCTATTCAGCACAATTGTGCATTGTCTTATTTACTAACAAGCAAGTAAGTCATTGCATAATACGAAATTATTTTCTCGTGGGCACACTATTATACTTATTCGCGAACTTTCCAGAAAATACAATTTCGCACAAGTTGTACTATTTTTAAATTATTTGCAAGGTTAATGAATTGGTCAGGATGGACTTGGAACTGAGGAACAGTTTCGTCAGAAACCTTTGTTCCCTTGCGTAGCTTATCAGTTTTACGGGTAAATTTCAATTACTTAATGGACTACGAGTGGCACGGGCAATAAATGTATTGCATCAGAGTTATCGAGATAATCGACTGCACTATACATAAAGTGAGTGAGTTATGTACTGTGCGGGTGGAGCTTAAACCTACGGCCTCCTGAAGTACCTTGTGCTGAGACTAGGGTTTCTCGTGAGTTTAGCTCCATCCGCACAGCACATAACTAACTCACTTCAAGTATAGGTACAGATACATTAAGTAAATACGTGCTCGGTCCAGTTTTGCTCGTCATCATGGGAAATTGCTCCATCCATGCGAAATCTGTGTGGAACTTTATTGAGATGGTTAGTTTAATACACGTGGATTTATTCCATTAGACTCGTACAAACTCCACTTGCATGGAATAACTTGGACGAGAAACGGAAAACTCCCACGATAAAAAAAATACTAAATTGTTGTGCAATTGTTCAGTTAAAGTGAAATCCAGAATCTAATCGAGCAAGGTTAAATAAAAGTAAATTCTTTTGCAAAATTTAAGTTTAAAATGTTACAAATTTAAGCTTAACTGTAAACAATTTGTTAAAGGAATCCAAGTCAATTTTTAAATAGAAATTTTAAAGTTTCGATTATATTTTAATTAAGTACGGAATCGAATAAGTTAAAACTTAGTACAGGAGGACTGGTCAATCTATTAAGTAATGGAAATATTTTTTACAATAGTAAAATTTACATTTGAGCATGAACTTTAACAAGTTCTCAATAATTTTGTCCTTTGTGCAGCTGAAAATGCAGACCATTTAACTAGAAGTGAATATGTGATATTTTCCATTTCCGTTTACATGACATGACTTTCTAAAATTCCGAAAGCATGCACATTTACATATATAGCTTTCGGAAAAAAATACAACCAAAACGGAACTATATTTTATTATTGCCTTGAGTACGTATGAAAAATATTTTGTACTCGCAAAAAAAATACGAGGAGCAGTTATGAAATTTTAGTAAGTTTTTTCCTTGTCCTTGTGGTTTTACCCAGCATTTTTCTTAACTCCGACTTACATATACTAGTGAATACTGCACATATTTAGTGAGTTTTTGTGCCTAAAATATGCATAGAATATTCATGCAAGTATGTATTCTAATATTCTAATTACTTAATTTTTTAATTGCAGATGGATTTTTAACACAAATAAACGGAGAAAATTCTGAAATTTTAATTTTACAACAAAAGTGCATGCATCCCAGCCTCAAATATAAATTATCTGATCATTAATCCTCATGCTACACAAAGAAAAATGGACCATCACGAATCATCGTTATCATCGTCGCCCTTATCACTGCGAAAGAAACGTCGTGAATTTTCCAAGTGTAAATCCTTCTCCGCAGCGCCCTTCATTTTGTACCGGAGCACAAAATATTCCAGTCTTCGGAGCAGAATTTTTGATTACGTGACCAGTGCGAGGACTTATTTGAGTGGGCGATATCCTAAATTGAGGTCACTCTTGGGGACGACCCTGCTGTACCACGTGGCGGTAGGAATTCTCCTCCCCCTCGTCTGCCTGCCCATCTTACTAGTCTCATTTTGTGGTAAATATGACAAATTTAGGTGAAAAATGAGATGAGAATTTGACTATGTACTTTTTTCTGCAGTAATACAGCTCTATCGAAAAGTGAGGATATCCCTAGTCAAAAAATACTATCCGGAAGTAAGAATTTGTGATGATTTTAATGCAAGGTGAGTAAAAAAAATATTGATGAACATAAGTATCTAACATTAACTTAGGACTCGATAACTCGTCAAAATCATGGCGTTTTTAATCATTTCTTGGCTCTGGAAATTTATTTAAAAATTCTGGATGACTAATTTGTAGAGCAAGCCATTTAAAATTTAAAATAGATATATAGACTCCAGATTTTGACAGTTCTTCAAGGAAATCTCAAGTTTAATAAGCCTTCAAAAAAATTGAAAACTCGCCGTTATTCTAAATAAACTTACTAACTGCTGTCGTCCCGAATTTTAAAATAAATTTCCAGAGCCGAAAAATACAATTTGATAGTTTTAACGATTTTGGTGACGAAGCATCGAATCCTACGCTAACTTTACTTGATTTTCTGAACAGAAATGCATATAAAATATTTTTTCCAGGAAATCTCCATCCTTCGGAATAGAATCGGATTTCGTGACCTCGCTAATTTGGGTGAAGGGCGACAGTCTGGACGTGGAAGGGATAAGATCTGGTCTTACAGCGAGAATCCAGGCACCCTCCTCCCCACTCAACCTTCTCGGAAGGGTGCTCAGCTCGCGGCTTCGCGTCCTAGTTTGGGAACAAGAAAGCAGTTCTCGTACCGAGTTCAACATTTCGAATCACGTGGCACTGACAGACTCAAAATTTCACGGAATTCGGATAACCGACGACCCCGTGCGAGAACTTGGCGGGGGATCGGTGCTTCAGAAATATGTCAGTGAAATAGTGTCGTCTCCTTTGAAGGGGTCCGTGCCCCCGTGGGGAGTAAACCTCGTCCAGTTATCGAGTCGGGAGAATCCGGGGATCATGACGACCCTGATTGTGCTCCGGTTTCATAGACTCCTCCTCAAGGAAAGGGCCATCGTGGCAATGTTCTTGAGCAGTTTGGGACAAAAAGGGGCCCTACTGGAAGTGGAGCAGGCAGGAAGTGGTACTTTCATCCCGTGCGAGCTGGAAGGTGGGATGGGATATAGGGAAGAGGAGAATAAATGTTGGAAAGATAAGAGCAGATTGTTCTGGATGTCCATGGCGCAGGTAGGCACACGCTTTTTGCAAATTGTTTCAATTTTCTCGGAAATTCTTACAATTTTTTGCAAATTACTTGCAAGTTATTACAATTTTCTGGCCAATTCTTACCATTTTTTTCTAAATTCTTAAAATTTTCTCCCAAATTGTTGCAATTTTAAATTTTTTGACACATTTTTACAATTTTCTCTCAAATATTTAAAATAGTTAAAATTTTAATGCTTTAAACAAATTCAATTTTTCTTGCAAATTTTTTCTATTGTCTTGAAAATTATTACAATTTTTTTCTTCGCCACTTTCAGGGTATCGAATCATTCCTGATCAACTGTGAAAATTGGATAACGCTGAGAACACGTCAAGCCGAATTTAATTCTCGCCTCGCCCTCGGAAAACTAGTCCTCTTCGAACTATCTGATACCATGATGCGTAAAAGTGCTCAGATTTCAAAAATTTTAGACATTACGAAAAAACTTTGTTCCAATTTGTGGCAAATTTTTCGTGCAATTTTATACATCCCAAGCATCGTGGTTAAAATCTATGTCGCTAATCGTTCCCCAAATCGGATCGGACTTTACTATAAGACGACAAAAAGTGGAGAAATGTGTAACAGCGTGTCGTGGTCGAGACAGCTTTCGGTCCAGTTTTTACACGAAATTAGCAACAAGATAATTTCTGATGGGAACGTCGAGGGGACGGAAAGTTCTATATTTCTCACCGCTGTTTCGTTAGCATTGAAAGATTATTATCTCGAGGTGGGTGAAAAGGCTGAATCGAAATCTTGCCAAAAATTGTTTTAATGCATTTTCTATAAGTTTTTATTATATTTTAAATTACAGAATTGTATCCCAAACCCGGTCACGATTGGTGCCACGGTTTCTTCCGCTTCAAACACGTCTTACTCAACTGGGCAGAAACTTGTTGAGTTACCGACGCGATTGTGCGATATTCCGAAAGAGCTCAAAGTAGGATTAATTATGAATTAGTAAATTAGTAATTAATGAATTAATGAATAATAATAATTATTACGAATTTTTACATACAATTTAACTTTATTTTTTTATTTTAACGCCAGAATTTGGCCCAACAAGTCGACACTTTCACTGCCTGGAAGCAACTCGCGCTATCCTATTTGGTCAAGTTTTCTTCCGCCGTGCTCCCCCAATCTGTAGCTTATTCACTAGTCGAGAAAAAATTGGGGAATTATTACCCCATCCATGTCACTCTGGTCGACACGCAGTCATCCTTTCCAAACCTAACGTTTTGGGGACATCCCGTTAAAGAGTTTACCTTTTGGAAACATCCACAATCAAATTTGTGTACGTAAAATTAATTAATTAATTATAATTTCCAATCAATTAGTTACTAATTATTTTTAAATTTCTCCAGGTATTTCCATCACTCTGATAAAATACGGGGGTAATTTCCGCCTCTGTGTCTCGTCCCCCATGAAATCCGTGGATCACTTCATTTCTCGAAGATTCCCACAATATCTGAACCAGATCGCCGAGTCAGTGGGGGTTGATCGGGGGAAGATTCCGTACTCGAAAAAATCGTCACCCCTCTCCTCAAACGCGTCTAGTCGTGGGGATGACGATGAAAATCAAATCGACGACGACGGCTCCGTCTTTGTCACGCCAAATTGCACCAAAATTGGGGGGACCAGATTCGTTAGGAGAGTTAATAGCTGTCAAAATCTGAGATGATGATGGTCGTAAATTTTAAATGGGAAACTTTCGCATGTAGATTTGTAGCGCGTGAAGCACGTTAAATATGGATTTATGAAGAGCTATAAAATATTTGCATAATATGCAAATGATGCTATATATTATACAGCATTACGATATTTCTAATGAAAATTTTGTAATATGCAAATCGTGCCGGATTAGTAATTGTAAAGATGAAGTTTGATAATACTACTGAACTCACCGAACTGACCTACATAAACTGTTAACAATTGTGATCTGAGCTAAAAATGTAACTGATAAATTATTCAAGATAGTCTCACAACCATTATAAAATAGAAGATATATATATTTGATTCGTAGTCAGTGTCATAAAATATTGAAAGTGTTGCATTTTTGTACTCCTCCTAAATAAGTATTAGTAACGTGATACGTGATAAGATATTAATTTTGTACTATAAGGTCCTACATGTTTTTGAGAAGAAATATATAAAATAAAACTCCGGAAACTATAAATACTGAAATTGTTTGCTTGCAACTTTTTAAGACGTTTTTTTAATCAGTTTCTTTCATGAAGAAGTTTCGATTAAATCAAATACAGTGTCTCGTTTTGGACGTCAAAAACTACTTTTGGGCTGGGCTGGACACCGTTAAAAGGAGTTCAAAATTATTATGGGCGTCCAAAATGTCCAAAAGTGTCCAACATTTGAAAATAGGAAGTTCTGTATTAAAGACTTTTTCTGTAATCCATGCACAGATAAGTATGTAACCTCCCGCTAATTTTGAGCATTGATTTTTGATTTGCTATTTTTGATCTCCCGCTATTTTTGATCTATAATTGAGTAATTTGTTGCAAAATTTGGGAAATCTTTGTTATAACATATTTTCTTGTGAGAAATTGAGGAATTTTAAAACTTTGTCGTACGTTAATCACCCGTTAATTATACATACTAAAATGCTCAAAATTACATATATAATATATTATATATACGTCAATGATTATCGAAAGACTCAATAATTTGTAACATTTTGCCTCATTTTCTATTTTGGAAACTTTTGGACATTTTGGGGGTCCAAAATTCGGTTAAAACCACAATGAAACCCTGATTAAGTCGTTTTGTTGTGCTACGGTGTCAACATTTAAATATATTTTACAGTTTGTTGTAAAATTGAATTTTATAGATATGCAACAAACTTTTGAGATTTTCCTGACAAGTGACAGCAAAGAATTTCCTTTCGCTGTCAATTAGGAAACTTTATGTAACCGAAACATATGCAACAATTTTGGAAATCGTGACGAAATTTCGACAAGTTGTCGCCATGTCATGTTCATACAACAAGCCCCTTCTAAACCAAGCAAACCCTTTCTCCTAATAACAAGCCATTCTTCAATCTAAGTGTCTTGTTAAACGCGACGACAATTATATAAGTATATATGGCATTGAAGTTATATAAATAAGTATTATTCAACAAATTATCACCGCATTTATTGACCATTGATGAAACAATTGATTAGACGATCATAGATACAATTGTACTCAATGAGGGTATTCACGACGAGTTCGCTTCATTAGCAAAATAAGAATAAGTTCATAAATTGGACTTGAAATAATATCATTTGTGAACTTACACATCTCCAGGGATAGGATTTATATAGTTCGCAAAACTTTTTTTAAAAATTATGTTGCAGCAATTATTTTTCAATGAATTGAATCCGTTCATATTACCAAGATTTCATTGGCGGATTTGCAAAATTCTTCCGGCATACTTTTCCGGATTCCTGATATCATTTAGTAATTGGGTAAATCGGCCTTTGCTAAAATGCCGGTTCGGCCTTTACTAAAATTTTAAAATGGTAATCTTTTCTGCGAAAACTATATATTTTTGTGGTATTGGTCCAAACCGTTTTGCCTCGTTGACAATACGCATTTTACCTAAAGCTGTTAAATTGCTTAATCTAATTTTTTTATCTGCTGTGACAAATTGTTTTGATTGCCATAATTTAAATTCTAACTTTATTGGACAGCTCGTATAATCATAATCGCATTTGTTCAAATTTGCAACCATCGATCTCTACCCATCAAGTTTCATAATCATGTAAAAAATTCCATGTATATGTACATACCTTAAAATCGTGTAACTCCGCAGGGCCCGAGTCAGGTTAGATTTACTCATATTCTTAAACCTTAACAAATTTTTAGCTTTCCATGACCATGCTCGAACTTAACATCTCACTCTCACTTGTCTCATACTGCATAAGTAAAAAAGTTTAAGTCGATAAGATAAGTTTAACGAGAGTTATCAGTAGACGTATCAGTAGGCGGACATACGCAGACGGACACGATTTTTCCGCATAAGCCCAGACTCGGGCTAAAAATCAGGCTGTGCTTACATATTATTGACATAACTGACCTACCTTATCAATAAATATATCAATCAATTTATGCAATTACTAATTCAATCCTTTGTGTTACGCAAGTACTCGATCGACCCAAATGATATGAACTTATTATTGAATAGAGACGATTTCAAGTCTCCATTTTGTGAGTCTTGCACGGTTTAAGTGGATCTGATGATTCTAAATCTCTGAATATCTGTATTTTTTTTAAACCAATCACGAATCAGTCAGATTTGAATAGTTTTAAAAAATACTTTTCAGTTAGAAATTTTTAATATGGAAAAGCGAACAAAAATAAGTTTATGTATTACGATTAGCGGAGTGGTCGTTCTTATTTTAGGAGTTCTTTTGGGATGGGTCGTATTACCATTTGTTATAAAACTTATGATCGATAAGGTATTAAATACATATGGGTCTGATTTAATCAGGCATTTCGCTGTGGTTTTAATTGTTTTAAACACCGAATTTGGACGTACAAAATGTTCAAAAATTTTGAATATTTTGAATAAAAATGTCCAAAAGCGTCCAAAATAAACAAAAGGGGCAAAATTTTACAAGTTCTTCATTGTTGAATCTTTTGATAATCCGTTGACGTACATATAAATTAACTTGGTGTGTATTACTGCTTAATTTGGAAAATTTCTTAATTTCTCATTAGAAAACATGGTAAAATAAAAGTTTTTCCAAATTTCCTGCTATTTCACACCAACTAAAATGCTCAAAATTAATAGAGATTACATATCCGTGAGTAGATTTGCAAAAAAAGTCGTTAATAATGAGCTTGTAACAATTTGCCCCATTTTCCTGTTACACGTTTTTGGACATTTCCGACGTCCAAAATTATTTTACACAGTTTTGGACGTTTTTCGCCAGTAACCTGCCAAAATTAGTTTTAGACGTTCAAACGAAACACGGGATTTAATTGAAGAATTTTGAATTTTGAAAATATATAAAAATCCATTTTTTGCATTTTCAGGAAGCCAAATTGACAAATGGTTCAATGATCTACGACAAATGGGTGGATATTCCTCTGCCCGTAAATATGCACGTGTATGTTTGGCGTGTCGTAAATATTAATGATTACGTTGGGTCGAACTGGACTACGAAACTAGTTATGGAAGAGGTCGGACCCTACGTGTACAGGTAAATACGTGAAAACTTGTTTGCCAACTAATTTTCGCACTAATTGCATATCATCGTGACCCAAATTTTAGCGAAAAGCGTGTAAAATATGACATAACAGCCCACCCGGATCGGGACACGCTCTCTTACAGACAGAACGTTACGTACACATTTGTCCCAGAATTGTCCGTTGGACCAGAAACGGATGCGATCGACATTTTAAATGCTCCTTTGATTGTAATGCATGCACATTTTTGTAATTTGCACAGATTTTTAGCAAATATTATAAACAAAATTGTGTTCCAGGCAGTGGCCACAATTTTGCTCACGATCCCCGAGAAATATCTTCCCCTGCCGCACCGATCTTTCATCGAGATCTTGATGGGACCGTTAAGTGGGGAAAAGTTTATCAGGAAAGGGGTCACAGTTCACGACATCCTTTTCGGCGTGAGGCTCAACTTCATCTACGACATTGTTCTCAACCTGGTGGAATTAATTCTTGGTGACTACATCACGCTTCCCCCCGAGTTGCAGAACGTTGGGGGACGAGGATGGCAGTTTGGACCTTTCGTGAATGTGAGTCTGTGTACAATCTTAGAAATCCAGTATTAAAATAATACCACGCGGTATTCATGTAATTGTATGACTACCAAAGTGGTATTGATATTGATAAGAAGTACGTTTTAGTATGTAATAGCTCCGTATTAAAATTGTAACATATCAGTAGCAAGTTTTACGGCCTGGTATAATTTTAATACCAAGGAGTAGCAACGTTAATGTCGAGAAATCAATACTTGTTTGGTGTGAATATACCAGATTTCTAACAGTGTTCATAAATATTTTCATATGAAAACAACTGTGACTAAATGTACGAAATTGTGTGCAAAAAATGCAGAAAAATGGAACGAATGCTGACGGACTTTGGGAGATTTACAGCGGGGTGAAAGACAACAGCAGGATCAACCAGATTCGATCGGTGAATGGCAACGAGACCATCGGGCAATACTGGAACACGCCGGAATGCAATAAAGTGAAAGGTTGCGATGGCATGTTTTTTCCTCCGTATGTCAAAAAAACGGACAGATTATACGTCTATGCGACGGAAGCGTGCAGATCGGCCTGGTGAGAAAAATAGTACAACTACTTATTTAGTTTAACAAATAGTCTGAAATTCAGTGTTTCGAATGAAATCACTTGCAAGAAATGACCGCATGGCATTTCTTGCACCTTGAATTTGTAGCGTTTCTTGCTTGCACTTTGCAGTGTAGGAAATGTAGCAAACCCGCAAGAAATGAAAGGCTGCTGAAATTATTAATGAAATTACTAATTAATTATGTCCGCACAATTTCTAGGGCAGCATACCAACATGAATCTGAGTTCATGGGGGTTCCCACGCTTCGATTTTCTGCAACGAGAGAACTATTCGCACATCCGGATGAATTTCCAGAAAACGCGTGTTACTGCGTCCCACCAAGACCACCGTTAGATCCGGCCTGCGCCCCCACAGGGGTTGTGAGATTGAGGAGTTGCAAAACTGGTAAAATTTGAGTGCTAAATTATTTATATTTAGAGGGTGCAAATAATTATTGCAAATTTGTCACAAGGTGCGCCCGTGGTTGTGTCAAAACCTCACTTTCTTGACGCCGAGGAATTTATAATTAATGGAGTTGCTGGTATGAAGCCTGACAAGGAAAAGCACGACACATATTTGGATATCGAACCAGTGAGCAATGATATAAAATTTTGAAATTTGTGATAAAATCTGGGTTTTGGTTCTTGTGGATTTGATACTTGAAGCACTGCAAAGCAAGAAGCGCAAAAATGCGAGGTGCAACAAACTGAAATAAAGTGCAAGAAATATACGCCGCAGCCGCATGAAGTATGGCATAGCGGTGTGGCATAGTTTCTTGCGCCTTGTATTTCTTGCAGGTCAAAATAGCCGCAAGAAACCACTTTTTTGCAAGTGATTATCTAATTGCCTCCGAAAATCAGCAAATTTTTAATTTTATTCAACATCTATTTCAGACCCTTGGCGTCCCTTTGAGAGGAGTTCGACGAGTTCAAGTAAATGTCGAAACTCAACCGTTTCAAACGATGGGAGAGATGTTTAAAACGCTCCCATTTAGTTATATCCCCATCTGCTGGGCAGGCGAGGTACGTACAAATAGTAAAATTTCATAAAATTTTCAAAATTTGAATTAGAGTGAGTTCAATTCATTTCGAAATTCATTTCAGGGCGCTGAAATGAATGATGAGCTTTACGATCTGTTGAACTCCATGTACTTGACGCCTCTAAAAATAGCCAAGATTGGCCGATGGACCGCTGTGGGGTTAGGAATCGTAGGGACGCTGGGAGGAGGAGCCGCTCTAGGATATTTTACATGGTGGTTGAAGCGATAAGTACAAATTGAGATAAGTGAGATTTACATAAGTGTGATTGTGACTTCTTACTGTGGAAATATATGCATAATAATTCTGACATATTTAAATTATGCATATTTTTACTAATTGTCAAGATTCTGCTGCATATTTATACTGAATTATTAAGAAAATACATATCTATTTTTCAAAATAACAAATCTTAACTTGATGCCAACTTTTGTATCTTCGTGACTCCAGTTGCAAACCGTTTAGCTCAGGATTAAGATCATCTTTTTTTCGTGCAATTTTTGCCATATTTTGCAATTTTTGTCCTTTTTTGCAATTTAAGTTGCTGTTTTTAATTCTATACATAGGCATGATGCGATTGATTACATTCTCAAGTATAATTTACTGGAATTTCCAATCCCATATGGTGCATCATTAACCTGGTGACACTCCCGTCCCGTTACGACAATACTGAATGGCATTGAAATTATGTATTAATATTTACGACAAGAAATAATCACACACATATTTGCAAAGTTATTGACCATTGATGGAGTGTGGTTGATAAGAGGATCACAATTGTACTCAATATTTGGATTGATACTATTATCGTATTGCATTTGTTCGAATTTGCACCCATCAAGTTTCATAATCAGGTAAAACTACTTATACCTGCCTTAAAATCTGACTGGGCATGCAGCTTACTTAATCGATATGGAATATATTAATCAATTTATGTTATCACCAATTCATTCTTTTGTGTTACGCAAGCTAGTAATCGATCGATACTAATGATACGAGGTATACAATTAGTGTTTACTTATTAAGTACCGAACGGGGACGAGTTGTTTGGATTTTTGGAATTTTATTAGATGGTTGAAGTGGATCTGATGATTCCCAATCTCTGAATATTTTTATTTATTTTGAAATCGATCAGTCAGTTTTTGCATATTTTTGAAACATAATTTGCAGTTAGGACATTTAATTTATTAATATGGAAAAGCGAACAAAGATAAGTTTATGCATTGCGATTAGCGGAGTGGTCGTCCTTATCTTAGGAGTTATTCTGGGATGGGTTGTGCTACCATTTGTGATAAAAATTATGATCGATAAGGTATGTAATATGAATTATGCAAATATATTTGAAGAATTTTTTTGAAAATGTGCGACATTCCATAATTTTTATTTCGTACTTTAATTGCAGGAAGCCCGATTAACGAATGGGACCCTGATTTACGACAAATGGGTCGACATTCCTTTACCAATTCATCTACACGTGTACGTTTGGCGTGTCGTGAATATTGATGATTACGTTGGATCAAATTGGACAACAAAACCAATTTTAGAAGAGGTCGGACCCTATGTTTACAGGTAGGTGCGAATTTGCATAATTTTTGGCACTAATTATGGAAATATTTACTATTGTGATCTCAATTTTAGCGAAAAGCGTGTAAAATATGAGATAACGCCAAACGTGGAACGAGACACAGTCTTTTTCAGGCAGAACATTACTTACACTTTTGTCCCAGAATTGTCCATTGGACCAGAAACGGATACCGTGGACGTGCTAAACGCTCCTTTACTTGTAACACACATTTTTTTGCAATTTGGCACAGATTTTCAGAAATATTATGATCAAAATTGTATTCCAGGCAGTGGCCACGATTTTGTACACGATCCCCGAGAAATATCTCCCCTTGCCGCACCGATCTTTCATGGAGTTGTTGATGGGCCCCTTAAGTGGGGAAAAGTTCATTCGAAAAGCCGTCTCAGTTCACGACATCGTTTTCGGCGTGCGACTCAACTTCATCTACGACATTATTCTCGTCCTGGTGGAATTAATCCTGGGCGACTATGTCACGCTTCCCCCCGAGTTGCAGAACGTGGGGGGACGAGGATGGCAGTTTGCGCCGTTTGTGAATGTAAGTTGGTACAGAAATATTTCGTCATATTTATGAAAAAACTGACAAAATGGGCGAAATTGTGGGGAAAAAATGCAGAAAATTGAGTTTATAAATATTTTAATTAAAAAAACTGTACTCAAATTGTATAAAATTCAGAAAAATGGGACCAATTCTGACGGTCTCTGGGAGATTTACAGCGGGGTGAGGGACAACAGCATGGTCAACATGATCCGAACCGTGAATAATAACGAGACGATTGGGAATGGGAAATATTGGGGCACGCCGGAATGCAATAAATTTCGTGGTGGGGATGGCATCTTTTTCCCTCCGTATGTCGAAAAAACGGACAGATTGTACGTTTATGCGACTGAAGTGTGCAGATCGGCCTGGTGAGAAAAATATTGACAACTATTTGCTTGTATTCTGTACAGTTTCGTTTCTTGCGGGTTTGATACATTTCTTGCACGGCAAAGAAAGAGTTCCGAGGTGCAAGAAATTGCGAGAAAGTTCGCGAAATATGCGCCATCTAGCCACGCACCCTATGAAAAATAGCGGCGGAAAGTGGTTTCTAGCAGGTCAAAATAACTGCAAAAAGTACTATTTTGACGTCATTTTCTGCAGATGATGATTACTTGCACCAGAAATACTGATTCTGCATTTTGTAGTAATGATGATTTGCCTAATTGTAACATTACTAATTCATCCCATTTCTAGGGCCGCGTACCAACATGAATCTGAATTCAGAGGGATTTCCACGTATCGTTTCGCCGCAACCAAGGATTTATTCGCAAGTCCGGACGAATTTCCAGAAAACGAGTGTTACTGTGTCACACCAAGAGAACCGTTAGATCCGACCTGCGCCCCCACGGGGGTGGTGAGATTAAGGAGTTGCAAAACTGGTACATATATGAAAATTTTGCACATGGAAATTATACTGTGCAAAAATAATATTGCAAATTTGTTAATAAATGCAAAGGGGCGCCCGTGGTTATGTCAAAGCCTCACTTTCTTGACGCCGATGAATCCGTAATTAATGGAGTTACTGGTATGAAGCCAGAGAAGGAAAAGCACGACACATTTTTGGACATCGAACCAGTGAGCGATACGAATTATATGAAATTGAGAAATCACTGATAAAATCTGCGGTCGGGAATTTAATTTAATTTGTCACCTATTTACAGACGCTTGGAGTACCGTTGAAAGGAGTGCGGCGAATTCAGGTCAATGTAGAAACTCAACCCTTTATATCGATGGGAGAAATATTTAAAACGCTGCCATTTAGCTATATCCCCTTCATTTGGGTGGGCGAGGTATAAATAAACATAAAAATTAAAAATTTCTGAAATTAGATCAAAAGTTTCCTGCCTTGATAAATTATTAATTGACCTCGTTTTATTTCTGTTTAAATTCATTACAGGGAGCCGAATTGGACGATGATCTCTACAATGAGTTGAAATCTATGTACTTGACGCCTCTAAAAATAGCAAATATTGGCAAATGGACGGCTGTGGGGTTAGGAATTGCCGGCACGCTGGGTGGAGCCGTCGCTCTAGGATATTTTACATGGTGGTTGAAGCGATAAGTACAAAATACGTGAGATGGATAAGATCGAGGAGGGAAAATTGAGATTTATAAGTAACTTCTTGATATTCTGTGAATGATGATAATTCTACCGTTGTAAATTATATTGCAAAGATTCTACTGTACGTACTTTATGAGATTTTCGGATATTATGTGAATGATGACGATATGTAATTGTGACGTTGTAAATTATATTTTCCTAATTGTAAAGATTCCGCTGTATTTTGAGATTTTCGGATAAAATATGAAATATATTTTTCAACACGACGTGTATAACCCTTAATTCACTAACAAATACGATGACAAATTGTGCTCCTATCTGACTCTCCACTTGTACATAAACCTTTGTTATTTACTAAATAACAAACTGCATAATATTTCATCCCATAAATTGTAAAGTCCGTGAACTTTTTACCCCTTTTTTGTGCCTCATCTCTTCAGGGGGAGCTTGTGCTGTGGCAAGAATAGTGACATGTTCACCTGCTTCAGCACAACGAAAATGTAGGAAGAAGGAAGGAAGGTCCATGCGGAAGATAAGGCATCTCTTTCTGAATTTAACTGGATTCTTCGGCCACTTTTCTTTCTGGATTTCACAATTTAATTTCGGTGTCAGATGGGAAACGCTGCACGATAATAATGCAACCAAAGGGCTACAGTCCGATCCAATCAGTCAAGTTTTATGTAGAGACTCGTTGTTTGTTGCTCACTCCACTCACTCGCGTGCCCCTTATTGTTTCGCTGTCGGGATGATATCACATCAAAAGCAATTCAAAGGCATCCCTCCCTTCGAGATTCAGGGGGCGGATATGTATTTAGTTTCAACTTTTTCATTTGATGATGACGACCGACGGTGTGGGGGTGTTCCCAAATTTTTAAAGATTACAAAAATTTCAAAATATGTTTACGTATGTATTGTTACATACTTCTAGGTTTTCAGACATATGAATAAATGTTTATAAATATTTGCCCTATTTTTTGAAAAATATGGAAATCTTTTACACATTTTTCAAAAAATTCATATATTTTGAAAGTATTTATCAAAGATGTAGGGCGATTTTTTTTGCTCAAAGAAATTGGATCACAAAAAAATCCAGAACACTACATTTGTATTTTCAAAAATAGAAATATTGTGAATATTCTTATTTTTTCGAACATATTTCGTAAATATTTTGGCGTTTTTTTCTAAATATTAAATACATATTTTTCATAAATACATATCCGTCCTTTGGTCATATCCAATCCAGTCGAATCCTCCACCCACCCTCTGCATATGTACGTGCAACTTCCCCTAAATCATTTTAGGCTCATCTCCACTAATGGAAATTGTATAGGGATGATGACAACAATGCTGATGGAAATAAGACGGGTGGCACGAGTGCATGAAATTTTGTGCTGTGACATGAACTTCCGGAAATCATTCCACCATATTCCCATTTTACATTTGTACCCTTTGATTGTTAAGAATGCATCAATTCTTTTTTGAAATAAATATCTGTATTGAGGAGACCCTCGAAAAAACATTTATTAAAAATTGCCAAACGGCGCCAGGAATTGCACGCAGGGACACTATTATCAGAATTTGTAGTTATTTATCAAGGTTTTAACGTTGTCAACAAGTGATTAGCATGGATTTAAGCTGATTACCATAAATCATGGGACGATATGTACATAGATAAACATGAATCTCTGTAATCCATCTTGCTCCCATGATTCAAATACCGTCATGATTATTGCTTTCACCAAAAAACTTTTTAGATTTCCTTGAAAAAAAAATTAGCTAGGATTATAAATCAATCCATTCATCCCTTTCATATCGCACGTCTCCTGATAAATCCGCAAAATAAATCATGCCACATTTTGTGCCTATCCCAACTAACGCATCATCTCATGCATCTCATAATCAGTTTTGATGAATTATATTTATTTTGTAAGTGTCAAGTATTTTGAAGTGGTAGGTTTAATTTTAGACCAACTTTACTAAGTACTCGATCATATTGATAAATTTTCCCGATCGTCCGAACAAATCCCCACCAACCAACCAACCACTTAAAAATGTACAGCCAAAAAACCACAAGACTGGATTTTATCACTACCGATCGAATGTTTAATGTCAACCCAGCCTTTTGTGACAAAGTAAAGAACGTCCGGGAATGAATGGGAATGCGCGCTCTAGCGAGTATATTGACAAATCAATAAACCCGCGAACTATAATAATTTAAATTTCTGAAAGCCCACTTCATTAGGGTCAATTTGGTATATCACTCTTAAATTTCAAAAATGGATAAGGGTAGAAGAAGCTTGTTTGAAAGGGAGCTGTTAGCAAAACGAGTGATGGAGTTCTACAACACGACAGCCAACCGAGACTCCAAGGTGACCTGGAACTTTTTTAAGCAGGAAGGAATTCCAAGTTCAAATGTGTATTCCTACATAAAAAAGTTCAAGGATTCCGAAAATGTGCAATTCAAGAAGCCAGCTGGTCGTCCGGCGAAGCTAGCGACCACTCGAGTGAAAAATAGAATTGAAAAAATTTTCAAAACCAAGCCATCAACGTCAGTAGCTGTAGCTGCCAGGAAAGTCAAAATTTCCAAAAGCTACCTGGGGGAAATTAAGGTCCATAAATTAGGAATCAAAGCAAGGACCAAAAAACCTGCACCAAATTACAAGCCCGTACAAGAAAGTCGGATCAAGGATTGCTGTCAAAAATTGTTGAAGAAAATGCGTGGAAAAGTAGTGATCCTGGATGACGAAACGTATGTTCCGGTTGACCCTTCAAATCTTCCAGGGCGTCATTTTTTTCATAGCTCGGATCCCTCTGAAGTGGCTTATGAAGAAAAAGTACGAAAAAAAGACAAATTTCCAAAGAAATATTGCATTTGGCAATGCATCTCCAGTCACGGACATGTATCAGACCCGGTAGTTCTCGAAGGGAATATCAATCAAGATATTTATCTGAAAAATTGCGTCAAGGCTGGATTGGAAGCATTTATTAATAGGTTTCACAAAAATGATAAAGTTTTGTTTTGGCCTGACCTCGCCACTTGTCACTATGCAAAGAAAGTGACCGAGTACCTCAGAAAGAAAAATATTGATTTCGTACCAAAAGATATCAACCCACCTAATGTACCCCAACTCCGCCCAATCGAAAAATTCTGGGCACGTTCTAAGTCAGTATACTCCCGGCTTCAAGATGTGCCTGACACCTTTCGAAAATTCAAAGGACGATGGAAGAAAATCACCTCGGAAGTGGCAAAAACTTCGGGAAAAAATTTAATGAAAAATCTTCGCAAGAAAATCGAACTAGTCGCCAACGGGGGTGTGGCGGCCTTAGCTATTAATTAAATTATGTAGGTACGTATTTGGTATTATACATATGCAAAAAGTTTAAAATTCCGATAACTCATTGTGATTTTATGACCACATTTTCAGACCATTCCCATTCATTCCCGGACGTTCTTTAGAATGTTGCCCATTGTGAAATGGGCTTTACAAATCCGTGGTGACATCAGTGGCCGCGGAAGCCGTGGGAACATATGGGGACATTAACATTGTAGGATAGGAGAGGGCGGGGTTTATATAACATGGGCAGATGATGGGGACATCGAATAACCGTGGGGACATTGTCCTCTGTCCCCACGCTTCCGAGGCCACTGGGTGACATCGTATATAAATCAGAGTCACATAATTAACTAATCAGTCAATACGTACGTACACACTCGATCAATCTTTCTGCACACATAATCTCGTACGGGAGAGGACAGTGAGATTACGCAATTTGAAAATATTCCAAGGGATTGAATTATCAAGTCCAATCCACGGCGTGATTAGAACTGTCGCACTTTTCCTGGGATTTACACGTCAAGTAGACATACAGAGAAAAAAAAGTGTCAATTAAACAAATCAAACCAATGACAAAGTTCGTCAAGATCATCGATCAACTGGGATTAGTTTGTTGTTTTGTGCATTCAAAAAATCCAGATCGACGTATGTATGCATGTACATAATCGATTGTGTATATTCCACTAATTTGGTTGGTGTGAGTATCAATGTGCTGCTTACCTGAGCATGAAATCTGTCCACGTATAATCAGCTCAACATTTGTAAATTGGATTTGAACATATGTCCCACGTCAAGTTTTTTGAGATTTTAACAGAATTACATACATACAAAACAGCCAGTTGTCGATTTGTTGGCTGGTTGCACTTATCGATTTGCGGTGATGATAACTCGTATGTAATTCCTGGTCTGACCTAATGCTACCTGGTCATTGTCAACTTGTGCATATATTTATATTTATATTTATCGTCCACCTCATTCACGCAATCATGATTGATTCGTTATTAAGCCAAAGTCATAGGAATTCTCTTTACGTTAAATGTTTGCTACATAAATGTTAAATTACATTAAATCAGTGCAGCCAGATTTACTAGAATTGTATCGATAAGCAAGAACATAAGCTGCGGAATTATGCGGATTCTGGATGGCATTCACTTCATACATGAATTTAAATGAAAGTTAGGATTCGTTTTATGTGAAATTAGTTGGTAGCGTTTGTGAGGAATGATTTCATGCATGTATAAATTTACTTGAGAGTGACATAATCTAAATCTATTTACGTAAATAAATATGTAGATGAATCACCATTATTTATGTGTGTGTTACGAGTTGGATTTGCATATGTACATGTGTAAATGATTCGACTAATGTGTGTAAGTGACATGATGAGAAGAGATTCATTACGTGTCTTTTTTTCTATTTTTTGCCCTATTAAGAAAATGCGAAGATCGCGTGTTTTTTGAGGGTATCAGAGGGAAAGTGTAAGCGATGTCACTTACTTTCGGTCAATTTCTTGTACTTTTTGCTATCTTTTTATCCAATCTGGAGCAAGTGGATGGATGGATATTTATGTGGTAAATGACTCGCACGTAATAAAATAAGTGGAATTGAGACAAAGACAAAGATTACGGGAGCAGTATATCACTTGCCGTAATTTGTGGGGTTGGGTTAATTTCTGACAAAAAATCTATGTAGTTAGCTTGTAATATATTCTTGCTAATATTTTTTTTCGTGATCGACGCTAAATAATTGCAGATATTCCTAATGTTAATTACTAATATGCACATATAGAAGAGCAATTATGTATGTGCGTAACATCACAGGGCACGAGCTACTACTTGCCTACAACTACACACCTGTCCCCTCGCATAATCAGTCTCATTAAACACGACGCGAAAAAGTTGTTTGGTAAAAATATTTATGTAGGAATAAAATTCGCTTGACATCTGT